GACAACAGGCTGGCCACAGGAGGGGGGAGGGGAGCCGTGCTCAGCAGCAACCTTGCACACTTCTGCCATTTCCTGACTTACTGCTCCCCATTCTCGGCCAGTTCTTGTTACTCCGCCACTCCTTCGTTAGTTTTGCTATTTGTTTGCCGTCTCGCTGTGAGACTGGATATCTCGGGTCCGCTCGGGGATGACATTTCTCACGCCGGACTCAGAGCCTCCGGGAACCACTGGCTACAGCCGTAGGAGTCTGAGCGCTCAAGATGATGCAGCTTCTCCAGTTGCTTTTTATTTTTATCATGAAATTATAAAACAGTGAACACGTGGAAGACCACTGTGACTTTGACTTTGGGGCCAGTGTTTCTCACAGTGAGATATGCACAGTGACCCATGATTCCCGTGTGCTGTCACAGCATCTGGTTCCCGGGACCCTGCCTGCCCTGTCCTGCCTCCTGTCCCCACGCGCTGGTTTTCACAGGGGTTCACCCAAACAACTGGGAGAGTTGTTATGGGTGGAGACAATATTGGTGGAGCATCGCTGGGATCTGGTGATATTTGTAGTCACAGCCTAAAGGGTCCTCAGGCTTGCGGAGGTGGTAAGACTAACAGACCTTGCAGAGCATCATGGAATAGACCAAATGTGAATAAGAAATTTATTATTCTTACATATTACCTAGAACAGCTGTAGTGGATACCAATACTTAAAACATAATTAAGGCTAAAAGACTTTAAGAAAAAAAAACCTGCCAATCAGTCAGTTAAGTGTCTGCCTTCGGCTCAGGTTGATCCCGGGGTCCTGGGATCGAGCCCCACATCGGGCTCCCGGATCAGCGGGGAGTCTGCTTCTCCCTCTGCCTCTGCCTGTCGCTCCCCTGGCTTGTGCTCTCCCTCTCTCTGACAAATGGATGAATGGAATCTTAAAAAAAAAGAAAAAACTGCCAATGTGCTACTTTTGCACCCATGACAAGACTCGCCTAACAACAGGAGAGCCTCATGTCCTCACAGGAGCCGACAGACATCCAGCTCTTGCAGCCAATTCTTGTTTTTTTTTAAGATTTTATTTGTCAGAGAGAGAGAGAGAGAAAGAGAGCACAAGTAGGGGGGAGGGGCAGAGGCAGGCAGAAGCAGGTCCCCGATGAGCAGGGAGCCCAATGTGGGACTCGATCCCAGGACCCTGGGATCATGACCTGAGCCGAAGGCAGACGCTTAACCAACTGAGCCACCCAGGCGTCCCAGCCGTTTTTTAAAAAATTGATTAAAAATCCAAATTCCAGCATGGGTAACATATAGTGCTATATTAGTTTCTGATGTATAGTGGTTCAATAATTCTATACATTACTCTGCTCCTCATGGTAAATGGAATCTCACCTGTTCCCCCCCCCCACCTCCCCTCTAGAGTTAAGAGTCTGTTTTGGGGTTTGTCTCTTTTTGAATTTCCTTTGTTTCTTAAATTCCACATATAGCTGAAATCATACGGCATTTATCTTTCTTTGACTTATTTCTCATAGCATCATACCCTCTAGATCCATCCATGTTGTTGCAAATGGCAAGATTTCATTCTTTTTTACAGCTGAGTAATATTCCATTGTGTGTGTGTACAACTTCATTCATTTGTCAAGGGACACTTGCGCTGCTTTCATAATATGGCTACTGTAAATAATGCTGCAGTAAACGGGTGAGGGCTCCTGGAGGGCTTGGAGAGTGGAGCATGGGACTATTGATCTCTGGGTTGTGGGTTCAAGCCCCACACTGGGTGTAGAGATCACCTGAAAAAAAAAATCTCAAAAGAATAAAACACATAGGGGTGCATGTATCTTTTTTTTAGATCTTATTTATTTATTTGACAGAGAGAGACACAGCGAGAGAGGGAACACAAGCAGGGGGAGTGGGAGAGGGAGAAGCAGGTTCCCCACGGAGCAGGGAGCCCGATGCGGGGCTCAATCCCAGGACCCTGGGATCATGACCTGAGCCGAAGGCAGACGCTTAACGACTGAGCCCCCCAGGCCCCCCCTGTATCTTTTCGAATAAGTGTTTTCATATTCTTTGGGTAAATATCCAGTAGTGGAATTACTGGATCATATGGTAATTGTATTTTTAATTTTTTGAGGAACCTCCATGCTGTTTTCCACCGTGGCTGCACCAGCTTGCATTCCCATCAACTGTGCTCGAGGGTGTTCCTTTCTCTCCACAGCCTCGCCGGCACTTGCTGTTTCTTGTATTTTTGGTTTTAGCCATTCTGGCAGGTGTGAGGTCGTACGTCATTGTGGTTTTGATTTGCATTTCCCTGATGCTGAGTGATGCTCAGCATGTTTTCATGGGTCTGTTGGCCATCTGGAGGTCTTCTCTGGAGAAATGTCTGTTTATGTCCTCTGCCAATTTTTTAATTATTATTTTTTGGTGTTGAGTTATAGCTCTTTATATATTTTGGATACTAACCCTTTATTGGCTATGTCATTTGCAAATACCTTCTCCTATTCTGTCAGTTGTCTTTTAGTTTTGTTGATTGTTTCCTTTGCTGTGCAGAAGCTTTTTATTTTGATGTAGTCCCAATAGTTTATTTTTGCTTTTGTTTCTCTTGCCTCAGGAGACATCTAGAAAAATGTTGGCTGTGGCCAATGTCAGAGACCTGACTGCCTGTGCTCTCTTCTAGGATTTTTATGGTTTCAGTTCTCACATTTAGGTCCTTAATCCATTTATTTCTGTGTATGGTGTAAGAAAGTGGTTCAATTTCATTCTGTTTCATATAGCTGTCCCAATTTTCCCAGCACTATTTGTTGGAGAGACTATATTTTTTCCATTTCTTGCCTCCTATGTCAAAAAGTCATTGACCATATAATCGTAGGTTTATTTCTGGGCTCTCTGTTCCATTGATCTATGTGTCTGTTTTTGTGCCAGTACCATACTGTTTTGATTACTACAGCTTTGTGGTATAATTTGAAATCTGGGATTGTCATACCTCCAATTTTGCTTTTCTTTTTCAAGATTGCTTTGGCTATTCAGAGTCTTTGGTTCCATACAAATTTTAGGATTTAGTTGTGAAAAATGCTGTTGGTATTTTGATAGGGATTGCATTAAATCTATAGATTGCTTTGGGTGGTATAGACATTTTGTTTTTTATATTTATTTAAACGTATTTATTTGAGAGAGTGAGCACAGGGGGTGGTGGGAGAAAAGAGAGGCAGACTCTGTGCTGAGCGCAGAGCCCAACGCAGGGCTCCATGTCACAACCCTGAGATCATGACCTGAGCCAAAACCAAGAGTTGGACGCTCCGCTGACTGCGCCACTGAGGCTCCCCTAGTATGGACATTTTAACAATATTTGTTCTTCCAATCTATGACCATTGAGTATCTTTGTTTGCGTCATCTGCAATTTCTTTTATCAATACAGTTTTCAGAGTACAGGTCTTTCACCTCCTTTGTTTATTCCTAGGTATTTTATTATTTTTGGTGCAATTGTAAATGGGATTTTTTTTGGGGGGGGGTAGTTTTCTTAATTTCTCTACCTGCTGCTTCATTATTGGCATATAGTAATGCAGATTTCTGGAGACTGATTTTATATCCTGCAACCTTACTGAAATCATTCATCAGTTCTAGTAGTTTTTTGGTGGTCTTTAGGGTTTTCTCTATGTAGTATGGTGTCATCTGAAAATAGTGAACGTTTTACTTCTTTTTTAAATACTTATTCATTTATTTGACGGAGCACAAGCAGGCAGAGGGCAGAGGGAGAAGGAGAGGCGGGCAGAGGGAGAGGGAGAGGGAGAAGCAGGCTCTCCACTGAGCAGGGAGCCCGATGTGGGGCTCGATCCCAGGACCCTGAGATCATGACCTGAGCCGAAGGCAGATGTTTAACTGACTGAGCCACCCAGGTGCCCCTACTTCTTCCTTTTCAATTTGGATGGCCTTTATTGCTTTTTCCTGATTGCTTGTGGCTGGGAGTTCCAGGACTATGTTAAATAAAAGTGGTGAGAGTGGACATCCCTGTCTTGTTCATGACCTTACGGAAAAGCTCTCACTTTTTCACCATTGAGTATGATGTTAGTTGTGGGTTTTTCACATATGGCCTTTATGATGTTGAGGTATGTTCCCCTCTAAACCTACTCTGAGGGTTTTTTATCATGATCAAATGCTTTTTCTGCATCTATTGAAATGATCATATGGTTCTTATCCTCTTATTGATGGGATGTAATACATTGACTGATTTGCAAATATCAAACCACCCTTGTGTCCTGGGAATGCAGTCAGTAGTCTCGATGCTTCTGAGCAACCGTTCCAGCTGAACTCAGAGCTGCAGTGGTGATCCATGTCTGGGATGACGTTTTGTTGGGTCCTTCAGTTGCTGGCAGGAGTGAATCTATCTTCCTTAGTAGGGTCACACTATTTCTGACACTTCCGTTTGCAGATGAACATGAAGATTTTGGAATTCTGAGTCCAACACTAGTTACTAGGTGATCTCTGGCAAGTTGCTGAGATTCAGTTTTCATTTCTACAAAATGGGAATAGTAACTACAGAGGGCTATAATGAGGATTATCTAACTAGCTAGATGATCCTGGGCAAATTACTTAACCTCTGTGTTGCTTCAGTTCCCTCATCTATAAAATTGGGTTTGGGTACCTACCTAAAACGTCTGTTGTGAAGATTAATTATTGAATACATGTAAGCTGCTTAGGATGAAAATGGTCTGACACAGTGGCCTGAAGTTACTGTTGCCAAGCCTGGGGTTTGTTCGTGAATACCGAATGAGTGATGTGTGCGTATGTTTGCAGAGGACAGAGGGCTCAGTGATTATTCTGTTGGTTGGTTAGGCTAGGCTCCGACCAAAAAGATCCTAAGATTGAGGAAATGGCTTTATCTCCTAGTCAGTGGTGAGTGTGCCCCTGCAAGGCCCCAGGATGCTGATGACGTGGTTTTAAAAAGATCTGTCTGGAAACAGGATGGAGGAAGGAGATCCTGGAAGACAAATGGAGGCCAGGAAAGGGGAAAAAACAGCAAGCTCACCACTCTGTTGTTAGGAAAAGTTTTTTCCATTTAATACTAGACTTTCAAGGATTGAGATGCAAGCTTTTTATGCAATTACATCCAATGTTAAAATTGGTAATACATAATTTACAAAGATTAACATCAAAACAATCATCTATTTAGATATGCTTTTGTAAAAAGGAAATATATTAGCAGCATTTATATTTTCCGCAATCACACAGCCTACAGACATGCAGACTAACTCTGTATCTATTTGCAGTGATGTAGTGCTTTGCCCCGCATTTCAAACACCAAAACCCACCTGGCAGCTAGGGGGTTCTTTTTATTTCATTATTATAAAATAACCGAAAAATAAAAAAAGGCATTAATTTCTACACCAGTAAGAAAAAACAAGTTTTTGCACTTACCTAACATTTGATTGTCTAAAAAACATTTCGGTTTTTAGTCTTTCAACAAAAGAAAGATAAAATGACAGCGTAGTGTCTTTTGCTTCTGTTCTCATATTTTACAAAGTTTTTTTCGTTTTTCTTTTTTCTTTTTTAAAATTTTAGTGTTTAACACTATTCAAGGAAATATTGAATTTTAATCTCTTTCTTGTCATTTTCCTGCTTTTTGACTAAAAGGAGACCCCCAAAGTGCCCCTATTCCCCACCTCCCTCCCACCCAGCTCCCTGCAATGAAAACCAAAAGAAACCACTTAGATGGGCGTGGACATGCGACGTTCCCAGCTCCACACGTGAGTATCTGATACCCAGGTCTCGTCGTAATGTACAGTGCTTCTCTACAGTAAGAAAATACTCCAAACTATTTTCTTAATTCTCTTTTCTTTAATAAAATATTTATTCTGCTTTTTCTCTGCTCAAGGGGATCTTTGGCGTCCCCTGTCTCTTTTGTTCTGTTTTGTTTTTTTTCCCTTAAGATTGACATAGAAAGGAGAAAAAGAAAAGAAGATTCAATGGAATGGAAGGTGTCAATGTTTCTACCTAAACAAGTCAGAGCGTCGTCATCATCGGGGAAATGTACAGTGAGGACAGCGTTGGTCCGGGCTTAGCGGGAAGCGACGCCATGTGTTTCCTGCTCTATTGCTTCCTGGCCGCGCAGCAGACGCGCACACACACACACACACAACTTGGCACGTTTGAAAACCATCTTTTCTCTTAAAGAACATCTAAAACGCATATGCATATGTGTGTCTGAGAAGACAACAAAGCAAAGCTTTTTAAATTTTATTTTTAAAGAGACGGTATCGTCTGGTAGCTTCTGGCCAAGAGAATGGGAAGGAGAGCGACATCCTGACGTCCCGCCCGCTGCCGCTGTCCCCACCAGGCTGGAGGAGACGGGACGGGCGGGGCGCGCACTGTCTCTGGGAGGTGGACACTGAAAACCGAGCAACGAGGAAAACGAGAGTAGTGTTTTCAAGTGATGGTGCACACTCACGACAAACACTGGCCGGCGAGCACTGCTCAACAGCCTGTGCAGTGACTCGTGGCGGGGGAGTCGGCTTCCCGGGGGCGCTGCGTCGGCTCGGAGGGCGGCTGTGTTCGTGCGACACAGCGACACAGCGGACCCGCAAGCCACAGTGGGGCGGCACCCGGGCGGGCGGGGGCCCGGCCTTCTCCTCAGAAACAAACAGGTTTGGCGGGTTAGGAAGGGTCAAACGAAAATCACGACCGAACGTCCTGTGCCCTCTGACCCCATGGGGGCCTTCCCTATTCCAGGATTACAGTCCGGGGAGGAGAGGTAGGGAGAAGGGCGGCAGACACAAGTGCTTGGACTTGTCAGTTCACGTTTTACTTTGACCTGATTGGGCAAGAAAGGAGAGAGAAACTTTCCTGGTCAAGGATCTATCTGGAAAGAGGCCCCAGCTACTGTTTCTGTTTGAGGTCTCCGGGCTAGCTCTTGGAACCCACAGAGGAGAGGCGGGGTGGGGTGGGGACATCCTCCTGAGGGACTGGGAGTGACACCTGGTAGAGGAAGCAGCCTGGCAGCAGTGCCTGTGGGACCGGAGCATGGCCCAGAAAGACCCGAGCTGGGGGCAGGGGCGAGTGCTGTAAAGTACCACAAGGCTCCGGTCACCCCCCCCCCCGCCCCCCGCCGTGTGCTCCGTCCTCCTCCCATCACGAACCCTGGGGGGGGGGGGAAGCGGTGGAGAGGAAAACAAATTAAACTGAACTGTTTAGACAGACTCCCCTCCTCTCCACTAGCTCCAAGATTTATGAAGTACCTAACGTCAACGACATGGCCCCTTCCCCTTGCCGGACGGACCCTTCCCACCCCTGTCTACACTCAGAGGACAAGAGGCAGGACTGTTAGCTCCACTGATCGCAGATGCTCAAGCTTCTCCTTTGACGGTCACTTCCGAAAGCTGTTTTCTGGGATGAACAAAGTACGCCTTCGCAGCTTCCTGCCTGACCCTTCCTCCAGCAAGTAGGTCACGTCGATGGCTGAAAACAGAACCAAGGAGGCTCATCAAACACCACCCTCCCACTCCTCATTCCAGATTTGAGCTCTAAGGAGGTCACAGGAGTCCACTGACTCCTTTTCCGACCTCGAAGCACCTCAGGCCTTCCTCCAGCCCCAGGAGAGAAGCTCTCCGGGGTGGGGTGGGGTGGGGGGAGGCTCTCACTGCCTGCAGCCCCCTTCCCGGGATGGAGCCATGTGCAGGGCCCATCAAAGAACTATGACGTTTTCACAGAACACTTTCCATCCTGGGCAATAATGGTAAGCGGTTCTTTTTCATTCCTTCCTCACTAATTTCCCCTTTATCTCAGACCCCGGACATGAGCCTGATTCTTTACCATTTTTCCCAGGGATCTTTTCAAGGAGACTGAGTAAGATCTGGTTGAGTCGTTCCCGCTGGCTGTGCCGTCGCTCCTCAGGGCTACAGGCAGGCTGGGACTCCTGACTCCTCTCCTCTCGCTTCTTTTCACCCTCGCTGACCTCAGCAAGGGCCCCCTCCCGTTCTGGGTCCTCCAGGCTGGGCACCTCGTCGGCGGCTTGCTCCTGGCTGGCCAAAACCTCTTCAATCAGGGGCAGAGCATCATCCTCCTGGCCCAGGTCTTTTAGGGGTGGCTTTGGGCGCTCGGACTTCCAGGATGACCTGCCAGAGAGATGTGGGCATTTTGACTAAGGCCGTTCAGGGCACTCAGGAGGGGAGGGGAGGGATGGCACCTCAGGCTGGATTGAGATCCTGAGTCTAGCTCTTAGGAGCCTTGGCTCTGGTTATCACTGTATTATTATTTGCACAAATCACTACCTTTTTCTGAAATCTATTTTCTAATTATAAAACTCAATTTTCCTTCTTTCAGGAATCCATACACTGTCCCAGAGCTGGTCAAACTGCCTGGCTAGGGCGCGTGGGTGGCTCAGTTGGTTAAGCGACTGCCTTCGGCTCAGGTCATGATCCTGGAGTCCCGGGATCGAGTCCCGCATCGGGCTCCCTGCTCAGCAGAGTCTGCTTCTCCCTCTGACCCTCCCCCCTCTCATGCTCTCTCTCTCAGATAAATAAATAAAATCTTTAAAAAAAAAAACAAAAAAACTGCCTGGCTAGCCGCCAGAGAAGTATGACGCAACCTTGTGATGCCCGCAGTCCAGCCACAGTTGAGAATCTGTATGGAGCCTGCCTTTCCCGACTCTGTCCTCACGCGCATCACTGAGGACTCTGCCTTCCCCGCCAGCCCCAGTATCAGTGCGGCCCGCCGCCCCCCACCCCAAAGGGAGACGGAAGGAAAGCCTTCACTGCTCCTTCTCCAAGAACAAGACTCTCACATACAAAACCAGCACAAGTAAAAGCTACGTGCCCGCCACGCTCAGTGAAAGCTCTGCTCTGAACAGCTACTTGACAGCAGGTCCTCGGCAGCGGTCCCAAGAACTGAGACACCTTGGGGTAATGTGAAAAGCTTGCAGAAATCTTAAAAAAGGAGACTTTTCTGAACCTGTCTAGAGTTCTGTTCCAAATCTTCTTGTCCTTCTGTTTCTACTCCTTGTTGAGTCTCCCTCCCTGCCCCCGACTAAAGCTCCATCAGCAGACCGTGCCCCTGACACCCAGTGCTTCCGAGTCACTGCCAGCACCACAGGCCACTGTCACCGAGTCCCCAGTCCTTGATGCTGGTTCTCCTGCTCCACTCAAGTTGGTGTCCAACCCCTTATATAAGGGCTCCCCTCACGTCCCCCAGGGCACTCACCGCCCTCCGTTCCTCTTGTAGTTGTCTGGGACGTAATGAGGCTGAAAAGAAAGGGAAGTGGTAAGTGTGCTGCAGAAGCCGGCTCAGAGGAGCTGGGGAGCCAGGGAGGAAAACACAGGCTAGAGCCCTTCCGGGCTGGGTGGCTGTGTTTTAAGGGCAGAGGGTCCGTCCTTCTGTCAGTCTGTAAGGCCACGGTAGTTTTGGTGTCTTGTAAGCCTGCCCCCCGTAAGAGGGACGGGCTCCCATCCTAACGTTAAGTAGTGCAAGTTGGGGCTTTAAAGCTGACCTGTGAGCTGTTGCCCAAGCAAGCAAGACCAAAGAAGTCTCGATGAGAGGCAGGGCTTGGTGGTGCGCAGAGAGAATATAAAATAAATACTGTTTAGAGAAATCCAAAAACAATTATAGGAAAAACAGGGATATAAAGTTTGCTTTCTGGTTAGATGGTTTCTCAACATTCCAGGAAGATGGCCACAATTTTTGACAAGCCCACAGAAAGCAGCTTAGTCAAAGATGAGGAGCTTAGTCCAAAGTTTGATTAGCGCAAACGGACGGATGGATGGATGTCCAAAGCCTCTGTGGACTGATGACGGAACAAAAGACCTGGAGGAGTATGTTCACAACAATTTAAAGAAAAAGTGCACAACAAAGGCAAGAAATGAAAATGTTAACAGTGATTATTTTCTGGGTAGTGGGATGACATACAAATTTCTCTTCTTAATGCCTCTATACTTTTCACATTTTATATAACAATGGTGTCTTACATTTTAAATGCAGAGATATAAGGAAAAAGCCCTGAATTATTTTCACCAAAGTTTTCTCAGGGTTCTTGCTATTCTCTGCTTGCTTCTTAAAATTGTGGATATGAAAACACAACCAAAAACTACACTAGAGCTCCAGGGCCAAGACTGTAAAGAGGTAATAGAGAAAAGAAGAAAACCTGACTATAACATGGACATCAACAACTTGTTGAGAAACAGCCCATGCCAGGAAATGCAGAATCAATGTATTCATGCTGTTTAAAAATCCCAAACAGGGGTGCCTGGGTGGCTCAGTCAGTTGGGTGTCTGACTCTTGATCTCAGCTCAGGTCTTGATCTCTGGGTCGTGAGTTCAAGCCCCGTGTCAGGTTCCACGCTAGGCACAGAGCCTACTTAAAAAAAAAAAAAAAAAATTCAAACTAGAGACAGATTCCTAGAGTTTGGGATGGACTAACAGGATGAAGCAGCAGAGAGCCTGGAGGTTCCTACCCTAGGAATTCCATGCATGAACTATATTGCGCTGACATGACAGGTAAGTGGAAGGAAACTTACTGAGAAATCTCTTTTGGGAGTGAGCTTCTTGGGGAAGTGGTCAAAGGCGTAGGGTTTGGTGCAGACAGGATAGCGGTTCCGGTGGATCTTGTAGAACAAGTGTGCGGACTTGTCAAGCCGATAGTCACAGATGTACACATCTTGCTCCTTCACTCCTTTGGGTCTCCCTAGGAGTTCAAATACTGTTAAAGAACTCTCCTGCCTTCCCCTGCTTCACCTCGAGCTCGAGCTGCCCAGAGATGAGCCCACACCACTGGGACGGCAGTGGGACCCTGAAGAGGGGACACTGTAGCGATTCTGAGAGGCATCTGGTGATTGCAGAAGAAAGGAGAGTCCCCAGACTGCAGCGCTGGAAAAGGAGAGAGGTGTGTGTGTGTATCTCAGAGTGTAAGGGCAGGTCACTGGCTGGGAAGGAACCAGACAGGCAGCTCACCCAAGTGCTGCAGGAATCTGTGAGGGAACACAGAGTGTGGCGACATTAGGAGAGAGGAAAGGATGAATGAGGGGAGCACATTTGGAAATAAGCACTTTATAACTGGGAGATGAAGTCCCCAGAATCATGGAGCCCCAAGCAGCCAATGCTTAAATGGAGTACATATTCTCCTGAACCATTTGCTATGACAGAGAAGGCGAGGCAGGCGAGCTCGCTAATGGTGACAACTAGGCATACTAAGCTTTCACTGTGAGCCCAAACTGGGCCACGCGCTTTGCAGAATACTTCATTTAATCTTTACAAAACACTATAATAGGTACTAATCCCTAATGCCAGTAGATTACGTAGCTTGCCCAAGGACACAGGTAAAAAGTGGTGGGGCTGGAATTTGAAAATAGATTATCTGACTCCACAGCCTACACTGTTAACCATGGAGCTCAAAAAGCTAGTGTGCTTTTTGGGTTTGTTTAATGTCCAGAGTTGTTGATGGCCTTTGGGATTCTGGAATGGGTGGAAGAACATGCCTTGTGACAAATGCCAAATACACAGTACTAAGAAATGCTAATTAAAAAAACAACAACAAAAAAACAACCAAAAAAATGGGGGGGGGGGATTAACATTTATTGAGTATCAAGAAAAAAATTAAAAAAGAAAAAGAAACAAAAAAACGTTTATTGAGTACCAAGCGCTAGCTAAAAGAAAGAAAAAATACAGGTTTTTGAAGCTTCATAGCTAGCTTGGGAGACAGTAAGAATGGAGTGGCAATTGCAGATGAAGGAACAGGGGACAGGAGGTCATTTCTTTAGCAGCTCAGGTCACTTACCTTTACAATACGTATAAAGGTCCAGGACACAGCAGGTCCCCACCACAGCCTCCAAGGGAATGATCTCGTAGAGTGGCACCCGAAACAGCTCGTTGTGATAGAAGCGGCGGGACGGAGAGTGGTGGGTCTCGTGCGGGCGGAAATAGTGGTGACCAAAGGCAAACCGTTCCTCTCTAAGGAAGAACAGGAGAGGTTTAGTCGACTGGCAAGATCCTAGGCAATATTCAGCTCTGTGCTGGAAGGGCAGAGCTGGAAGAAGAGAGAAGACCTCAACACATACTTTTCATTCTTCCAAAGCTTCTCAATGCGGAAGATGTCCAGTTTGTCTCGGTTAATGTGCGACAACAGTCGGTAGGACTGGCGGACTGGGTGGCCGTCAGGCGTGCGCCGGCTATCCCGCATCAGGTACACGCAGTCGCCTAGGAAGGCACAGGACAAGTTAAATGATGCCTGCGTGAACTCTGTGAGATGTCCACTGGTCCGATCCAAGGTCTAAAACAAACAACAGATACAGAGCTACCACTGACAGTCTAACAGTGATGGTCATCAGTTCTGGACTATGAGAATGGCATGAGGGAGGTCTTCCATCTCCTTCTCAGTCCTAAAATTAGCTTTATGACATCCCGGTCTCTCCAAATTAGTTTTATTTGGTGGAGGGGAAAATGTATAAAGTCCAAGGACACAGAAACCTATACTGTCAACCCTTGAACTACATGGGTTTGAGCTGCACGGGTCGAAATATACACAGATTTTTTTTTTTTTTTAATGAATACAGTACAGTATTGTAGATGTAATGTAAAAAACCTTGTGATTTTCTTAACATTTTCTTTTCTCTAGCTTACTCCATTGTAAGCATGCAATATATCAATACATGTAACATACAAAATATGTGTTAATCGACTATTTATGTTACCAGTAAGGCTTGGTCAACAGTAGGCTATTAGTAGGTAAGTTTTTGGGGAGTCAAAAGTTGTATGTGGATTTTTGACTGTGCGGGGGGGGGGGTGTTGGTGCCCCTAAAGCCTGCATTGTCCATGGGTCAACCATATTCAACTGCTATGTAAGGTCATGTGGTGACAATAACTATTATGCAGAGAGCAGACACTCCCACCACTCAGAAAGGGAGGGTCAGCTCCTGTGTACACACCTTGACGAAGCAGTAAGTCATCTCGGAGCAAACAGATGAAGTAGACACAGCCAGGCTGGGCATAGTGGGGCCGAGGAATCATGGGTACCTCCTGGTAAGAATGGAAAGCCAACAGATAAGGACTGGGACTACTACGCCTGCCTACTGAGCTCCATTCAAGAGGAAAAGAACTCAAACCTAGAATTCGCAACCAATTTAAGACTTACTGTTTAGTCATTTCAACACAACACACATGTACACAAAAATGAAAGCAGCTGGAGTTGAGTTGGGAAAGTGAAGGCAGAAAATAAAACTGATAGGCCAAGTACCCCAAACTAACTGTATGAAGCACTAATCATATGGCTGCTCTTGCACCCCCTGGGGAGCATGAAAATGTGTGAGGGGGACAGTGACTGTCACAAGGACTCAGGGAAGCACTAGCATTTAGTGCCCGAGGCCCAGGGATGCCAGACATTCCGCAGCACATCCCTCAGAGCACAGAAATGTCCACTCAAAATGACAACACTGCTGTTAAGAAATACTGCGTAAACACTTTCCTTTATAGAGAAGACCTGCTCGAGATCACACGTATAAACACAGCAGAACCAGGACAAAAACCCATTTAGTAACTTGGGCAAGTTACCCAACCCACTGTCTCTCCTGGAAAGTGAGCCTAAGACTAACCTGTATACTCAAGTTCTGGACTTCACAAGTACTTCTTTCGTGGATAGTGGACAGTGTTTATATAGTAGCATTCCTTCCACAGGTTTCTAAGTATTTTACTTCCCCTTTGACCACACACTTGAGAAACGAAAGGGCAGAATTATTACCCTAGTGTAAAGTGTAAGAAACTAAGGCCCAGAGAGGCTGAGTGACTTATCAAAGGAAATCCAGTGCACCAGGAGCAGGGCAGATAAGAGACCATGTGCTACATCTCCTACTTGTAGATCCCAGTATCACCAGAGGGCAGCTTACTCTGTCCACAGGCCTTGGGTCACACTGCTCACAAAGGTAGTGCTCCACGTCTGAGTTCACGCCCAGACAGTCACAGTGCTGCCACACCTGCGGGGAGAAGAGTGCAGCTGGGAGGGGGGACTCAGACTTACCGAGGGAAGTGCTGGGGGCTAAGAACAACAAAAACTTAGCAGTAGGACAGGGCAAAGTCAAACAGGAACTAAGGGATAAGTGGGTGAGTGAGAAATTATAGAGACAGGTGGCTTAAAATAGGGGGAAAAGAAGAGCCTGTCTGAACGCAGGTACACTGACTGGTCCACACTACATTCATGTGGGAAAGGAAACGAGCTGGACAGAGAACGGGAGGATGAACGAACACAGCGCCACACGGTGCTTATGAGGTAGCACACGCCAGCGACCAGGCCGTGGGGAGGCCTCAGTGACACCATGCTTCTCCGGGCTGTTGCCTAATTCCAGCCTCCTGACCGCCCCGGCTGCCCCGCCCCTCTCGGCTCCACTTCCCGTTCAGTGAGGCAGCAGGTTCAGACACTCCTGCCCCAGGAGCTCGGCCGGCGTGCTGGGCCCGCATCAATGCTATGGGATGCAGCACCGCGACGCCGCTCTGGCGTAAAGCCCGGTCCTGCACAGGAACGTGCTTCTCGCTCCAGATGCCGTGAGGTGCGTGCAGCGGGGAAGTGGGCAGGGAGAAAGACAGGTGGGAAAGAAACGAGAGGGGAACATGCCAGAGGTATGAAACAAGAGAAAGGCCATCTGGCGCACAGTGAGGGGTGAGAGCTAAAGTTCCTAAACCCGCAAGCCAAGCCTGGAGGCCTTGTCAAAGGTGGCCGCCATGCCCCTGAGGAGCAGGCCTGTGCCCCGCGCGGGCCTCACCATGCACTTGTCGCACTGGATCATGAGGCCTTCATCCTTGTGCAGGCCGCAGACACAGCGGATCACATCGTCGTCCTTCTCGTGCACGTTCTCCTTCTCGGAGACTGACGTCTCGCTGCTGTCGGCCTCACTTGCTGTCTCTCCCACAATCTCATCAATCTGAGCTGATGCCTCGTGCCTGGCATTGTAGTAGGTCTTCCGTAGGCGGCAAACATCTCTCCCAATTGGGGATTTACGCCCATAGTACTTCTGAAGAAACCAGGAAAAAGAAATCCTGTTTGGTCTTCTCAATGTGGCTTAAAAATATACCTGAAGAGGGGCGCCTGGCCGGCTCAGTCGATGGAGCCATGACTCTTGATCTCAGGGTGGTGAGTTTGAGCCCCATGGTGGGGGTAGAGCTTACTTCAAACACACACCCACCCACCCACCCACACCCACACCCACACCCACACACAGGAGGAGGCAGGAGGATTTTCATTGTTCTCCCGTTTTGGTTAACAGATTTTCAATACCAGCAAATATCAACTAACATGAATAAAAATTAGAATCTGTATGATGGGTGTCCCATTTGCTCTGCTGCTGTTATTCAACTTAGCCACAGGCCTTACTGTCCTCAGCTCAGACACCCAGTGAGCACGGAACAGGAGTCACTCTCACAGGTGTGGTGTGTGGGACATCTGCACTTACTCTGTCTGGCAGATGCTGGGGACAGAGCTAAAGCTTGGGATATGGAAGCTGGGTTTCAGTAAAAAACATGTTTTAATTCAGGACTGATCTAATTCTTCTCCTACTTGTCTGTTTTTCTCTCGTTTCTGTCCTCACCTTCCTTTATCTTATAGCCCCTTTTGTCCTTCATATTCCTCTCCAAGGTATTTCAAAATCACTGGAAAACTTCCTCTTTTTTAAGATTTTACTTATTCATTTGAGACACAGAGATAGAGAGAGCATGAGCAGGGGGAGAGGCAGAGGGAGAGGGAGAAGCAGGCTCCCTGCTGAGCCAGGAGCCCGATGTGGAGCTCGATCCCAGGACCCCGGGATCATGACTCAAGCTGAAGGCAGATGCTTAACCATCTGAGCCGCCCAGGCGCCCCAAAACTTCCTCTTTTCTATGTACCATACAATATTCAATCTTCTCCTTTAAATCAGTTCAAGGTCGGGGCACCTGGGTGGCTCAGTCATTAGGCGTCTGCCTTCGGCTCAGGTCATGATCCCAGGGTCCTGGGATCAAGCCCCACGTTGGGCTCCCTGCTCCGTGGGAAGCCTGCTTCTCCCTCTCCCACTCCCCCTGCTTGTGTTCCCTCTCTCGCTGTGCCTCTCTCTGTCAAAAAATAAAAAATCTTTAAAAAAAAATCAGTTCAAGGTCACCTTCTCATCAATGAGCTTCACCTAATCTACCGCCCACTAACCTAACCCCCCTCAATTCCATCCTTCAGATTTATTTCTACTTACTATACATAATTCTGTGTATTTCACATGTATTTATTGTCTTGAGGAAAGAAACTACAGATATGACTTAAGTATGGTAAAATGTATTTTGTAAATACAAAGGTTCAATACTAAATTAGGTTGTTTTCCCCCAAGATTTATCCATTCAACTAGAGAGTGAGTGAGTGGGAGAGTGTGGGTGTGCGCATGCGCGTGGCCCCAATGTGGGACTCATGACCCTGAGATCACGACCTGAGCTGAAACCAAGAGCCGGATGCTGAACTGAGTCCCCAGGCATCCCCTATATTAGGTTTTTACAAAAATTTCTTTTTAGGTAGTATAATTTAACCTTTCATTCTAGTCATATCAGTAACTTTATTATATAAGATTCTACAATATTTAGTACACCTAATCCTTACACAAAGGGTGCTCAATAAAAACTGTTGCCTTTTAGGGCACCTGGGTGGCTCAGTCGGTTAAGCATCTGCCTTCAGATCAGGTCATGATCCCAGGGTCCTGGGATTGAGTCCCGTATCAGGCTCTCTGCTCAGCAGGGAGCCTGCTTCTCCCTCTCCCTCTGCCTCTCCCCCTGCTTGTGCTCTCTCTCTCAAATAAATGAATACAATCTTTTTTCTTTTTTTTAAAGATTTTATTTATTTATTTGACAGAGAGAGACACAGCGAGAGAGGAAACACAAGCGGGGTGCGGGGGGAGGGTGGTGGTGGGAGAGGGAGAAGCAGGCGTTCCGCAGAGCAGAGAGCCCAACGCGGGGCTCGATCCCAGGACCCTGGGATCATGACCTGAGCCAAAGGCAGACGCTGAACGAACTGAACCATCCAGGTGTCCTTTTTTAAAGTTTTTATTTAAATTCTAGTTAACCTATAGTGTAATATTGGTTTCAGGAGAATTCATGATTCATCACTTATGTATGTCACCCAGTGCTCAACACGACAAGGGCGCTCCTTAATGTCCACCCCCGCCTAGCCCACGTCCCATCTGTCTAGCCAACCCCCCGTCTAGTCCGTCCCCTGCCCAGCTCCCCCTCAAAACAAACTTCTTAAATCCGTGTTTGAAGGCGGTGTAAGTACCTCGGCATTCCGAAACACCTTGAGCATGTCAGCATCAAAGGCCTCCACGGTCTTGTAATGGCCAGTGAGGATCTGCCTCTCTATGGTGGCCAGGTCCAGGGGCTCGGAGATCTTCTCGTAGTAATCAGCATTCCTGGAGCAGAAAGCCAGGCTGTCAATCGGGCACACTTGGCACTGACTGAAAATTCACAGGATTCCCACATTTGTGAACTTACTTTTTCTTTGGGGGGAGGTTCAGAAGGGGTGCTGCCAGAGCTTGTCGGGAAGAATCTGCAAAAGAAAACAAGGTTTAGAAGGACTATGTGATGATACAAGAGAGGCAAGTACTAACTCCTCACTGAAAATGTAGAAGCCCCCAAATTAGAAGTTAGGGGGAAAAAAAAATCTAAGCTTTTTTGAGGCCCGACCATGAAATGTACAGGACTTTTCAGAAATGTGGGTACTCAGAGGCAGGGAAGATACTTTCAGGATGACCCAGAATATGAATAGCGACAGATGGGAAATTACTGAAGCGGCGAGGCTGCTGAGGACAATTCCCTGCTCTACAAGTTTTACGAAAGCAAAGAATGTCTTATCCAAATAGTACCTTCTAGTTCTTATTAATGGACCACAGTTAATATTATTCTATTGGTTTGGATTCAATTAAACTCCAGATAATGAATAACTTAGTACTGTAAATATTTTCTGGAATCCATTTTCTTATAACACAGTTACTTTATATTATGAAAACAATTCAGGCTGTGGGGCTACTTGCTACCTTACCTACTTTCATTTAAAAAATTCAATTTTATGGGGCTCCTGGGTGGCTCAGTCGATTAAGCCTCTGACTCTTAATTTCAGCTCGGGTCAAGATTTCAAGGTTGTGAGATCGAGCCTTGTGTGGGCTCCGCGCTCAGTGCAGAGTCTGCTTAAGATTCTCTCTCTCCCTCTGCTCATCCCCCCGCTCGTGAGCTCTCTCAAATAAATAAATAAATAAATCTTTAAAAACATTCTAATTTTTTATTTAAGTATAGTTAACATACAATGTTATATTAATTTCAGGTGCACAACACTGTGATCTGACAATTCTGTATATTATTCCATGCTCACCATGATAAGTGCAGTCACCGTCTGTCACCACACACAGTTATCACAGTATTATGGACTACACTCCCTATGCTGTACTCTTCATCTCTGTGGCTTGCTTTGTGACTGCAAGTCTGTACCTCTTAATCCCCTTTATCTATTTCACCCATCCCCTCCAGCAACCACCAGTTTGTTCTCTGTATTTAAGAATCTTTTTGCTCATTTTGCTTTTTAGATTCCACATACAAGTGAAATCACACGGTATTTGTCTGACTTATTTCACTAAGCATAACGCCCTGTAGGTCCATCCATGTTAGAAACGCCAAGATTTCCTTCTTTTTCATGGCCAAGTAATATTCCATTGCATGTACATACCACCTATTCATTTATGAATGGACACGTGGGCTGCTTCCGTATCTTGGCTATTCTAAATAATGCTGCAAAAAACACCGGGGTGCATGTATCTTTTTGAATTAATACTTTCATTTTCTTTGGGTAATACCCAGTAGTGTGATTACTGGGTCATACAGTACTTCTACCTATTTATTTTTAATTTTTTTGTATTCCTGTCTTTTCTTTTCTTTTTTCTTAAAAGATTTATTTATTGGGGTGCCTGAGTGGCTCAGTTGGTTAAGCGTCTGCCTTTGGCTCAGGTCATGATCTCAGGGTCCTGGGATTGAGCCCCGCATCGGGCTCCCTGCTCGGTGGGAAGCCTGCTTCTCCCTCTCCCACTCCCCCTGCTTGTGCTCCTGCTCTCGCTACCTTTTTCTCTCTCTTAAATAAATAAATAAATAAAATCTTAAAAAAAAAAATAAAGTTGGGGCTCCTGGGTGGCTCAGTCGGTTAAGCGTCTGCCTTCGGCTCAGGTCATGATCCCAGGGTCCTGGGATCGAGCCCCACATCGGGCTCCCTGTTCCGCGGGAAGCCTGCCCCTCCCTCTGCTCATGCTCTCTCTGTCAAATAAATTAACCAAATCTTAAAAATATAAAAAAGACTTATTTATTTGAGAGAGAGTGAAGGGAGTATGGGGGGGTGGTGGAGGCAGGGCAGGGAGAGACAGAGGGAGAGGGAGAGAGAGAATCCCAAGCAGACTCTTTGCTGAACGTGTAGCCTGACTCGGGGCTCAATCTCACAACCCAGAGATCAAAACATCATGACCTGAGCAGAAACCAAGAGTCAGATGCTCAACCGACTGAGTCACCCAGGTGTCCCTCCATCTTTATTTTTTTTTTCTTTAAAGATTTTATTTATTTGTCAGAGGATAGAGAGAGAGAGAGAGAGAGCAAGCACAAACAGGGGGAGCGGCAGGCAGAGGGAGAAGCAGGCTCCTTGATGAGCAAGGAGCCCGATGCAGAAATTGATCCCAGGACCCTGGGATCATAACCTTCCATCTTTAATTTTTTGAGGAACCTTCACAGGCTACCTTACTTTCTAGGTGAGAGAAAAAGCCTGTTATTTCATGCCCAGAATGTAGGGACATGTAGACATACCGGCTGCAGGTTCACATTGTATCAGATGGGCCTGGGTGGCAATGGGGAGCGTGACTTTTTCAGGATGGAAAGAGATCAGGTGCCACAAAACTTTACATGTTAGGACAGGCTAGTTCCCCCTTTCTTCTCTATATCCTTAGGTTAACAAAACTGCAAAGAGCCACTAAAGTACAGAGATAAAAAGTAGACAGAGAAAGAAAAGGGAAGGGAAACCAAATTACTCAGAATCTAGGGAGAGGGAGGGAGAGATAGGCCAAACCTGAGGGCAAAAGGCTGCAATTATTTGTAAAAATCTCTCATTTTAAACATCTCCAAATTTCCTGGTCAGAAAAAGTCACATACATTACACTACCTACCCCAAATTAAAAACTCTCCTTCCCCACCATCACCCACAACACATACTCTAAAGATGTCTTGTAAGAGGAAAGAGTGGTGATAAAGGTGTCTGCATGAAAATGCTTTAAAAGCTCAGTCAGTGGGGCACGTGACTCTTGATCTCAGGGTTGTAAGTTCGAGCCCCACACAGGGTGTAGAGATTACTTAAAAAAAAAAAAAAGGTTAAGAAATCGTATGTTCATTAACACCCTTTTCCTTAAATTGCAAATTCACTGCCTCATTCAGGAAAATTACATCCAAGACAGAGACCTGTTCTTTGTATCCTATAGCTAAAAAATGTGATTTCTAAATATAGTACTTAACTATGGTAAAATTCCAACAAATACCAAAGATTGACATAGAAGATCAAGGGATTTAGATTCTGTCCACACTCCCCGAAGACTGAAACCAGTCCTATGAATTCTACACTCTGACAAAAGGAAGGACGAAGTAAACCTCCTAAACCCCTCGCCCTGAACCATCCGTCGTTCTCAGTCTTGGGTGTCTCGGGTGAGGGTGAGTGGCAGGATTTTTACAGAAAGCTGAGGAGAAAGCCTTTGGGGTGAGTGTGGCCACCTTTGTAGGAGATGATGCCATCACAGATCTCTTTGAAGATTTGGGCGAGGCGGGCTGCACGTGCCACCTCAATGTTTTCCTCTGCTGCTGCCAGCCGTCTTGTTCGAACTGACCGCGCCGTCTGCAGGGCGGAGAACTGGGTCATGAAGACGTCTGCAAAGATACAGTGGAAATCAGTTCTGGGAAAAGAGAGCACTGTGTGGCCTCTCCTCCCCCATGGACTCTTGCCATTTGCTCTATTTTCCTTGAAGTGATTCAGCAGATTAGTGATCGTGCAGTTCTTTCTCTCCTCCTTAAAGAAATGTCAGGAAACACTGGGTTTACCAGAGACTGAAGCTGCACGTTAGAGGCGCCTAATCTCTGACCAAATGTTGTGCGATACAGCGGCTGCCAGCCTGCGTCCCAAGAAGAGTCTGTGTTTGAATTCTGGCTTCACTACTTCCTAGCTCTGCGATCTCGGGCCAGTTGCTTATACTCTGTCTCAGCTTCTTGACTGCAAAAGGGGGAACAGTGGTGGTGCTTCCTTTAGCAGGTAACCGTGCAGGTTAAATGAGGGAATGCTTTTCATGTATTGAGCTCAGGCCCTGACCTATAATAAAGACTCAGGAAGTACTTGTTGTTATTACCAGGAGATTGGCCCTATTTGGGACGTAAGTTCAGAGACCTCACGCCAGTCAAGTCACTGACAGGACAGAAGGCAAATTTCTACATCGATCAAGTTTGCACACAGCAGATTCCCTCATACACCACACACAACACTTCTGCTTTTTGGGGGGAAGAAGGAAAGACTCAAAGAGGAGCATGAGCTTTTGAACACCCTATTTGCAGTTAGAAAGGAAGCATGGACAGGCCAGTGGACAAAAGATCTGAACTCAGGAGCGCTGTTACGTTATTCACTCAAGAAGCTTGGAGAATAGAAATCCGAAGGTCTGTGTGTATAGTGCTCATCTGAATGTGGGGGGAAGAAGTCTTCAAATTTACACTGCTGTCATTTTTTCCTGCACGCAGCGTCACGATTTACCCATACGCAAGTTATTTTCCAGGTAGGAAGGGATGCAGGGGACCCTCTACCGATCGCATGTCTGGACACTCTCAGGCTGTAGGTGGTGTTTGGGAAGCTGGTGAAGGGGATTCTTCCTAATCCCTAGAGCACAGACTAGGAACTGGAGCAGCTGGGATGGACAGGTGATTGCTGACTGATGATTGTACACTGGGATCTTAGCTTTTTTGATCCAGACTAAAACGAATCATTGAATAGAATAAAAGCAACTAAAATAATCACTCTGAGACAATATTATGGAATTAACAGGAGCGTTTCATTTCCAGGCCATACCAGACTTGATGTTCCCGTCATCTCGGCAGATGCCATTCCAGCGGGTGTATAATGATGCTGAGTGGAGATTATCACTGGTGTGCTTTACTTCCTCTTGTTTCTGCCGAATCTTCTCCCAGTTTCGGACCAAGAATACATGATGCTTTAACACAAAGTTCCTGTAAGGAAGGAAGGAAGTTCCTTAATTCATTAATTTGATAAGCATTTATTACATGTCCATCCTATGTAAACTTTTTTTTTTTTTAAAGATTTTATTTATTTGACAGACAGCGAGCACAAGCAGGCGGAGCAGCAGAGAGAGAGGGAGAAGCAGGCTCCCCGCTGAGCAGGGAGACCACTGTGGGGCTTGATCCCAGGACCCTGGGATCATGACCTGAGCTGAAGGCAGATGCTTAACCGACTGAGCCACCCAGGCACCCCCTGTAAACCATTTTTCAAAAGTTAAATTCTTTTTTTTAAAAGATTTTTTTAAAGGATTTTATCTATTTATTTGACAGAGAGACAGCGAGAGAGGGAACACAAGCAGGGGGAGAGGGAGAAGCAGACTCTCCGCTGAGCAGGGAGCCCGATGTGGGGCTCAATCCCAGGACCCTGAGATCATGACCCGAGCCGAAGGCAGACGCTTAACTGACTGAGCCATCATCCAGGCGCCTGCTAAAAATTTTAAGTAATCTCTACACCCAATGTGGGGCTTGAACTTACAACCCAGAGATCAAGAGTCGCACGTTCTACTGACTGAGCCAGCCAGGCACCCCAAAACCATTGTTACGATGATATAAATGAATAATTATCAGTTAATTAAGCTATAAGATAATTATATATGGGAAAACATAATTCAGTTTTGCATCTTTTTTTTCCCTCCATATAACATAAAACATTCCCCTCTATTATTTATAAATATCTGGCAAATAGCACTTAAAAGCTGCAAAAATTCGGGCGCCTAGGTGGCTCAGTTGGTTAAGCGACTGCCTTCGGCTCAGGTCATGATCCTGGAGTCCCGGGATCGAGTCCCGCATCGGGCTCCCTGCTCGGCAGGGAGTCTGCTTCTCCCTCTGACCCTCCTCCCTCTCATGCTCTCTGTCTCTCATTCTCTCTCTCTCAAATAAATAAATAAAATCTTTAAAAAAAAAAAAAAAGCTGCAAAAATTCTGGCAACCAAAACAGCCTGACTTGAAGGCAGAGATTTATTGAGTATATATACAAATTCTAAATGAAGCTGGCAAGATGAAGCATGGGTTCAGGATTAGCTGTAACAAGGAGAACTAGACTGACAGATAAAGGCAAAGACATTTGAGATAGATATGCCCTGGGCAAACAATGTTGGGTGTAGCACCCCCACATAGACCTCCAAGCTTATAGGTAAGTTATGTGTGTCTTCAAGGACTCTACACAATTTGATGATTCCATAATTTGACCCCCACCCTAGTGCACATCTAAACTGGGTAAGTCTCAAACTGTGGGCCTCAGTAATTTAAAACTCGTCCAATTTTAAAGTTCTTGATCTGGTCACACTGAAATCATCTGGGGAGCCTTATAAACTACTGATGCCTGGGTTCCACCCTGAAAATTCTGGTTTAAGTGATCTGAGGTGTGGCCTGGGCAGCAGGAGGTTTTAAAAACTCCCTAGGCAAATATGCAGCCAAAGCAGAAAACCACTTGACTAGATCATCTCTGCTTCCCTGAAGTTTAAAATTTCTATGACTCAAGTGATACGGTATAAAAGGGGTAAAAAATCACAGTAAAGTTATAAATGCTGATGAACCTTCTAAGATACTGGAGCATATGGTCAGGGAAGATGTAGAAGATGTCCTAAGACGATCTGAATCGTAGGACATACATATTTACTTCGCTTACTTCTGACATGGACGAATCTTACCTGAATCTATATAGGGAGAAGCAAAAATGATCACTAAAGATCCTTTCTACTGCTCTATTAATGTATCAACAAAGCAGGGGATCTTGACCTTTTCTGTGCCATGGATTCCTCTGGCAGTCTGGTGAAGCCCATGTCACCCTTCTCTGAACAAAGTTTTAAAGTAACTTTTTAAAAAATTTTAGATTAAAAATTTAAATTTTTAATATACAGGGTTAAAAGGAAACCAAATATCCTGAAATTCAGTTTTCAGAATATTAAAAAAACCCTGAAATTGTGATATAGAAATAAACATTAATTTTTTAACACATGACAAGATGTAGCGGCTAGTGGTAGGTTTAACAACTACAGTAATTTCAAGGTGGAAATCACATAAATGGCATTTTGAGATATTTGTAACACTGTAACAGGATATAAAATGTGAACATCGGTGAAGAAGTCATGGAAACTGCAAATACTACACACATGTAAGCGCACACACACACACACTTTTTGCCTATTATCACATTTGAAGGAAATGCTAAATTTCAGTTAGAAATTGGGGAAAATAAAGATGTATTCCCCCCCAAATCCAAATTTATCTATCCCGATTCTTGGCTAAAGACCTCCTGCACAAAAGAAATGACTCAACCATACGGATGTTTAGTAATTTCTAAAGTGACAAGCAAATCATACAAAGGCAAGAAAACCTCTTTACCTCTCTCGATTAGACATCGGCTTCATTTGTATTTGGGGGGTCAATCTTGTTGGAGTGTTGATGTTTTCACTGGGTTCTTCGGAGAGGTGGCCTCTCTGAAAAACACATGGATCGGATTGCAGGAAAGAAAGGGTCAATCAGAAACATTGGGACCACCCCCTGGTATCACCCTTCTCTCTGTAACTGCCCATAGGCAGCTGTGCAGGGAAAGCCAGGAATGAGATCATTATTCACCCTTTTCTTCAGCTTGTGCTTAGACTTTCTCTTCTCTTTTGACCGTCCAGACTTTTTATGTGTAGCCACAGGCTGGCTGCTTTTGCTGCTGGTGAGTCCATTCACGCGCTGACTCTTGCCCCCGATGATTCCTCGACATTTCTCAAAGCCACACTTACACAGTTGCTTTGAAAGGAAAGACAATCTTGCTTTTGGCCTGCAGTCTCAGTTACAAGTTCAAACAGAATGCCTGAGCTTCTGTACACCCAATAGTAAGTTTGAGTCAAGAAATTTTTACACAGAGGAAAATAACTGAGAGTAAAATAAACGTGTTTCCGTGGAAAGGAAAGATTACATTTTGGGAAAACTTCTTCCCTAGGCAAGTTAAGAACGGACTGAAGACCAGACTCAACAAAGCAGCCTCTTTCTACGGAGTGCTGAGACCACGAGGCAGAGCTGGCACCCCAGGTAAGTGGGGGGAAAACCGCCTTCTCCAATGCACTTCTCAGCGGCTGCAGACCAGAACATTTACAGAAGGCCTGCGGCGTGTATGGCGCCGTGACAAAGTCCCAACCTCCCTCTCGAACCGATTATGCCTACCTGTTTTTCCACATTAAAGGAATGGAAGTTGTAATCGTAAGTGAGTTCAGTACCAGCTGGCATGTCTTTAAGAGCATACAGTCCAATCCGGTAGACTCCGTTGACAGACCTACAGAGAAGGGCAGGGTTAAAGGCAGAGATTCTTTTTTTTTTTTTTTAAAGATTTTATTTGATAGAGAGTGAGAGAGCACAAACAGGTGGAGCGGCAAAGGGAAAGGGACAAGCAGGCTCCCCGCCGAGCAGGAAGCCCAATGTGGGGCTCAACCCTGGGAGCCTGGCATCATGACCTGAGCCGAAGGCAGCCGCGTAACCGTCTGAGCCACCCCGGCGCCCTGAAGGCAGAGATTCTTAATACCTTGCCTGAAATGGTACGCTGCTTTCAATTTGCCTTTGTTTCTGTGTCCAACTACTTGGGGTTTCCTGGCCAGTCTCTTCAGTTTCAGTATCTCTCTTCTATTCTGTCCAGCTTGTGTAAACTGCCAGACTAAGTCCTCAGTCAGCTTTCTGGAAAACATGCTCTATGTTGTCAGTTGGAATAGGTCTTAACTTTTCTTGCCTGGTATTCAAAGTCCCTCTAAAACATGGCGTGAGTCTCCTTATTATATGAATCTCTCTCTTTGGTTCTATTTTATGTAACTTATTAATAATTTATTCATACTATTCTAGATGCTTTATGTAATAACCACAGCTATCATTTATTGATTGTTACATTAATTATAACATTTTGTTGTACTATCTTATTTAATTCTCCCAACAACAGCATAAAAAAGGCACTTTTTTTTAAGTAGGCTCCACGCCCAGCGTGGATCCCAACACGGGGCTTGAATTCACAGTCCTGAAATCAAGACCTGAGCTGAGATCAAGAGTTAGAGGCTTAACTGACTGAACCACCCAGGTGCCCCCCAAAGGCACTATTATTAGGTAGCATTATAGCCCATTTTCTAAATGAGGAAGCGGAGGCACAGAGAGGTTAAGTAACTTACCCAAAGTCACACAGCTAATAACTGAGGGAATCGAACTGAGTATCAAATCAAGGCAGTCTGGCTTTAAAATCTTAACCACCATGTCATACTGATAACGGGTTAGCTCATTACCCCTCAGAACCACCCAGTGAGATGGTATTTGGATTCCTACTTTACATAGTAAGTATTTGTGGCTTAGACAGTTTGTTCACAGTCACATAGCAAGTAAGCTGCATTCAAAACCAGGGGATTCAAATCCAGGCTGTTTGATGCCATAGCTTTTCTTCTCTTGCTTCATTCCAGTCTCCCTGCCAATGTCAGACACATCAAGGTTTAGCTTGGCTCCTATCCTTATCAAATGTAAATTTCTCTAATATATTCAGGTTTTATTCCCCCCCAAATTTAGAAATCAGTTTTAGTCTATGCTAGCGGTTGGCAAACTCTAGCAAACTCCCACCATGTCTTTGTAAATTTTTATTGGCACACTCCAAAAGTTTAAGGACCCTTGGTCTACAGCCTAACATTTAAAATTTGATTATATACTGTACTGTTTTAAAAATTTGGGGGTTAAGCGACTGCCTTTGGCTCAGGTCATGATCCTGGAGTCCCGGGATCGAGTCCCGCATCGGGCTCCCTGCTCGGCGGGGGGTCTGCTTCTCCCTCTGACCCTCCTCCCTCTCATGCTCTCTGTCTCTCATTCTCTCTCTCTCAAATAAATAAATAAAATCTTAAAAAAAAAAAATTGGGGGGGATTTGTGGGATGCCTGGCTGCCTTAGTTGGAAGAGCATGTGACACCTGATCTCGAGGTTGCTAAGTTCAAGTCCCATGTTGGGTGTATAGATTACTAAATAAAATAAATTAACCTAAAAAAATTTGGGGGGATTCTTATTTATTTTTAGAGAGGGGGAGAGAGAGAGAGAGGGAGAGGGTGGGAGGTGGAAGGAAGAAGAGGAGAGGAAGGGAGGGGAGGGATAGAGAATCTTTTTTTAAGATTTTACTTATTTATTTGACAGAGATAGAGCAGGAACATAAGCAGGAGGGGAGTGGGAGAGGGAGAGCAGGCTTCCCGCCGAGCAGGGAGCCCGATGTGGGGCTTGATCCCAGGACCCTGGGATCATGACCTGAGCCGAAGGCAGACGCTTAACCATCTGAGCCACCCAGGTGTCCTGGGATAGAGAATCTTAAGCGGACTCCATGCCCAGCGCAGAGCCTGATACAGGGCTCGATCCCACAACCCTGAGATCACGACCTGAGCCAAAATCAAGTCGGACACAACCAAATGAGCTATCCAGGTGCCCCTGGGGGACTCTTACACGGAGAATACGCAAATCCTAGAGGTATAGCTTGCTGAATTTTATGCATCTTTCCACCTGTGTAACTGCCCAGAAACCCTTCTCTCCCAGTTAGTACCCTTTCCACACAGGGTGGGCCACAATTCTAATCTCTATCACCACAGCTTAGTTCTGCCTCTTTGGAACTTCATATAAATGGAATCATACAGAATAATACACGGTAGGAGGTACAATCATATGCTTGGTTCTTCCACTCAGTGTTACACTGTAGCTGTGATACATTTTTACTCTGCTGTGTAGCATCCCATTGTATGAATACAGCACAATTTAGATACCTGTTTTGTTAAGTATTTGGATTGCTTGTAGTTTTTTAGCTGTTACAAAAAAATTTCTGTGGCTATTCTTGCACATGCCTTTTGAACATGAACACTCACTTCTGTTGGGGACATACTTGGGAGTGTGGTTACGGAGCTCCTGGATATGTTTAGCTTTGATAGGTGCTGGCAAACGTTTTTTTTTTAAAGTGGTTATACACCAATTTACATTTCCACCAGCATCTAAGAGCCTTCATGTCATACTACATGCTTGGCAACACTTTGAATTGTCATTCTTTGATTGTAGCCATTTTGGGGGAGTATGTAGTAGTTTTCGAACACAGTTTAATATTTCTCTCGGATGGCTAAAGATATTAGGCACGTATTTTATGTTTATTGACTACTTAAAAAAAAAAAAGGATTGTATTTATTTGAAAAAGAGAGAGGGAGCATGAGCGGTAGAGGAAAAGGGAGAGGGAAAAGCAGGATCCCTGCTGAGCGCAGAGCCAGACATGGGGCTCGATCCTAGGATCCTGATATCATGACCTGAGCTGAAGTCATTAACTGAGCCACCCGGGCCCCCTTTTTTTGAATACATTTATATTCTTTTTTGATGTGCCTATTCTTTGAACTATTTTAAAAACTGGACTTTCTTATTTATTTGTAGATTCTGTATTTATAAAGAAATTCTTTGTCAGATAAACATTGTAAATACCTTCTCCCCAGCGTATGGCTTAGCTTTTTAACTCTCATAGTATTATCTTTTGATGAAATTTTTAATTTTATCAGCTCATTTCCTTTAGTCAGTGCTGTTTATGGGTGGGTTTGAGCCCCATGTTGGGCTCCGTGCTCAGCAGGGAGTCTGCCTGTCCCTCTCCTTCTGCCCTTCCCCCTGCTCACATGCTTGCTCTAACAGATAATAAAATCTGAAAAAACAAAAAAAAGTTCAACCCCGAGATCAAGGGTGTCCCTATACTGTTGAATTTTATCAAATGCTTTTTCTATTTTCTATTACCCCTATTGAGATGATACATGATTTTTTTTTTGCCTTTATTCTGTTAATGTAGTAAGTTACATTGATTGTGAATGTTAAACCAATCAAACTTTCATTCCTGGAGTAAACCCCACATGGTCATGATGTAATTACCTTCTTATATATTTCTAGAGCTGATCTGTTAATATATATATTTTTAAAGATTTTATTTATTTGACAGAGAGACACAGCGAGAGAGAGAACACAAGCAGGGGGAGTGGGAGAGGGAGAAGCAGTCTTCCCGCAGAGCAGAGAGCCCGATGTGGGGCTCGATCCCAGGACCCTGGGATCATGACCTGAGCTGAAGGCAGATGCCTAACGATTGAGCCACCCTGATTTGCTAATATTTTAATGAGGATTTTTGTGTCTATGTTCATGGGAGATGTTTGCCTATATTTCTTCTTTCTATTAACAGTGTTGTTAGGTTTCAGATGAAGGTTATACTAGAAGTATGAAATGGAAGAGTTTATAGGATATTGGTAGTACAGACATCATTTCTTCTTTAAGTATACAGAAGAATTATCAATGAAGATATTTGAGCCTGGAGCTTCTTTTGTCAGAAACTGTTAATTATACATTCAATTTCACTGGTAGATATTCAGACTTTTTATCTCTTCTCATGCCGTTTTTTAAGTTGTGCTTTTTCAAGGAATTTCTTCATTTTATTTAACTCTCCAAACAGAAGTTCAGGAAAATGGATAAACTGTGGTGAATTTATACAAAGGAACATTAGTCCAGAATAAACATCAACAACACGGAAAGCTGTAAAAACATTCTAAGTGAAAGCAGCCAGACACAGAAGACGACATATATGTGCAGTTCTGCAATAGGCAGTAGGCAAAACAAATCTGGTGACAGAAACATCACTGCTTGCCTTCGAGGTGGCAAGATTCTAAATCTGAAACAATGGAAATGTTCTATATGTTGATAAGGATGTGGGTTGTATGGGTGTATGTATTTGTAAAAATGGATGGTAATTTACACTTGAAATCTGTCTCTATGTGATACCTAAAGTTAAAAAATTTACAAAAATAGAAAGCTGTTCAAATTATCCAATTATCTTTTTAAAAAAAGATTTTATTTCATAGTGAGTGAGAGAGAAAGAGAGAAGGAGCAGGAGGACAGGGAGAAGGAGAAGCAGACTCCCGCCAAGCAAGGAGCCTGATGCGGGACTTGACCCCAAGGCCCTGGGATCGTGACCTGAGTGGAAGGCAGACGCGTAACCGAGAGCCACCCAGGCGCCCCTCAAATATCCAATTATCTTCTAAAGTTGTATGAAAACACACGTAACATAGAACCTACCATCTTGACCGTTTTAGAGTGTGCAGTTCGGTGGCGTAAGTACACCCACTGTTGTACAGCTGTCACCGCCACCATGCTCACAGCTCTCTTCACCTTGACAAACTCAAGTACCACACTTACAGTGACCACCTCCTCCTCCCACCCCCACCGCCACTCTACTGTCTATAATTCTGATTACTGTAAGTACCTCGCATAAGTGGAATTG